GGTCTTACCATTTGTTTCACTCTAATACAAGTGCTCTACAATAGTAAATATGACTAAAAATTATCTAGTGACCTTGAGCCAAAGTGCATGTGTGCTATATAATATAAATAGCAAATAATAAAATAAATAATAATAAAAACTCATGTGAATTCATAGACTAGTGTCCTTACTGCTGCTGGCACTTCTTGTGTTCACACAAATGACAATAATATAAATGCATAATACAAATAAATGTGACAGTACAGTACTGTATGAAGTGCAGTAATCCATCTAACAGCTCTCTAGTGGTCTGACATACCTCATTCCGAACACTGTTCTAGACAACAGGACTCTTGCTGCTTGAGCAATAAGTCCTCATGCACACGACACATTTTGATAACGCTGGTAACGTTAGCTGTGTAAAGTCACATTAAAAATGTGAGTTTTTCAGCGTTTTTGCATTAGCGTTTAGCAGCGTTTTGCCGTGATTAGTGGAATTTTCCAGTATTTTTCTGTGTTTGCGTTTTTTAGAGGTTTTTTTGGTCAAAAACAGTCCAAAAATTCCGGTTTACGGCGTTTCACCACGTTTTGCCACATTTTTCAGCGTTTTTGCAGCTAAAAAACTCCTCAAGAAACCCACTAGTCCTGAGTTTTTTTTCCAGCCAAAAAATGTCCCAGCCAAAAAACGTTGATTACAGTCTATGTGTGCATGGACACATAGGATAACATGCTGGGGGGTTTTCTAGCTGTAGAAAAAAATGTCAAAAGCCATAAACAGCAGCTGTAAAAACGTCATGAGGGCTAAGAGAGGAAGCTTTGCCCAGAGATAGGCTTTAGGGCCCAATCACACCAGTGAACATGCACATTACCACAACAAATAGTAACATGGATTACACAAGCCGGTGCAATACAGTGCCATTAATTCTACATGGCATCCTCATGCAATCTCCTAGCACACCTGCTTTGCAGCGCAGCGCAGTAACGCACTACCATGCTGCACTGTGGAAAATGCTGCATGCGTGATTTCTGTCTCCTGAAATACATTAACCTCCCTAGCGGTATTCCCGAGTGTAGCTCGGGGTACAATGTCTGTAAAAAAAGCGGTAACCCCGAGCTACACTCGGGCTTACCATGCGGCGCTGCATAGGGAGTCCCTGCAGAGCTTACCTTGTCCTTCGCTCCCGCGATGTGTCCCCTGCAGCGTACCCGGCCATCTCCTCCACCTGATGCCGGCATCCGGCTCCTGTGTTCCGGTCCCTGTGACGTCGGGATGTACGGGCGCCGGCGGCGGCGGGAAATTTGAAAATTTAAAAAAAAATTCATTTTTTTCAAAACAATTTTACATAGTAAAACATTGCTGTTTCAACCCATTTCACATACATTTTGTCCCGAGTGCTCTGTCCTGTCCCCTGTCTGCATTTTGACTGTTCTTTCTGCCTGGAAACTTAAAAAAGTCCATGGCATCCAAAAAGTTTCCCTTTAGGTCAAAAGCGGGTTTAGATCAGCTAGAGAACAGCGATAGTAAATCAGAACCACTTGCAGAATTGAGTGATAATGATTTGTGGGGAAATACGTCATCAGAAAAATGAGGAAGGGTTGTAACAGCGCAAACACTGCAAAGTCCTGGGAAATGGTAGTATGGGTGATGGTGGTATTAGTGGCTACTGTATGAAGAGCGTAGGATTCCGTGTGGCACTGAGGGCAAGGCTTCCAAATAAGCTGTAGCAACTTCTGTAGATGAGAAAAAGGAGAGAAGCGCCTCTAAGTGCAATAAGTCTTTTAATTCAAGTCTAAATGTAGAAACACTCACATGTGTGAAGTAATCATAAGCATAAAAACCGTGGTTAACAATAGTTAACGGTGGGGTGGTAACCCGGGTGAAGAGCCGTCATCTCTCTGCGATGTGGGGAGGTCAGCTCTCGGCTGACCTCCCCGTGATGACGTCAGATCCCAGGGTGCACTGCGACGCGTTTCGGAGCATGCACTGGCCGTGGAAGGCGGAAGTTCACCCCTGTTCATCCACTTCCCCCTGCTTGAAAAAGGAGTGCACTTCCGCCTTCCACGGCCAGTGCATGCTCCGAAACGCGTCGCAGTGCACCCTGGGATCTGACGTCATCACGGCCACGCCGCCGCTACGTTCCAGCGTGCGTTCCATCCGGCTTTGAGGGAGGACGTGCATGAAGGCTGGCCTCACCACTGTTCCCCCTCCAGCCACCACGCTGTTCCAGCCGAGAGCTGACCTCCCCACATCGCAGAGAGATGACGGCTCTTCACCCGGGTTACCACCCCACCGTTAACTATTGTTAACCACGGTTTTTATGCTTATGATTACTTCACACATGTGAGTGTTTCTACATTTAGACTTGAATTAAAAGACTTATTGCACTTAGAGGCGCTTCTCTCCTTTTTCTCAAATACGTCATCAGACACTGAAAACAATTTTGCGACTTTGCTCAGCGATGTGCGAACTTGGCGCTATATTTCAAATTTCAGTGTTTTTGGTTTGATTATATTATTGAATTAAATGTATTATTATTATATTATTATTTTTTATGATTATTTATTAAATTATAATTTATGATTTTGTGTTTCAAATTTTATCATATCCGGAATGTTTACTAGACTCTTGTTCGGACAGATTTCAGTGAGTTATTCCTAAATATTACAGCCTACAATAAAAAAACTACATATTTCCATGCCAAATAATGGTACCGCTTTCAGCACCAAAAATCTGAAATAATCATACCGCTAGGGAGGTTAAGAAGCCCATTCAAATAAATGGCCTGCCTTAACACTACACACGTTAAAGAGTGACACAACATGCATTCGTGTATTCACTGCACCATAGTAGACCAGGGTGGTATGAATGTGCCTTAAATAAAGGCAGGATGCACATGATATGAGGCAAGGTGAATATCTTGTCTCATTCACTGCTCAGTAAATGAAGTAGAAGTAGCTGATCTCATGTAAGTAACATTGGCAATACAAAGATTTAATGTGCAGCTGCCTGCTGTCATTGAACAGCCTTACATCTCTCTAGCCTCCTCTGCAGACCTGTTATTATCTGTAGGGATTATCTGTCGGGTCTCATCTCAAGAATCCTAAATGGTGACAGGTACATACTGCAGCAGAGTCAGAGTGTACAGTAAAATGAAACACCCATGGCCCTACAAAAGTGTGAACTAGCATCTTAAATAGAATGTGTTGTGTTTTGTATATTTTATTTTATTACGTTATGCATTCAAAATAAAAAAAATTGGGCAGATATAAATGATTGCATATGAGTATATAGTTTTTAAATTTACAGCCAAAGGGTGAGCTCTGGGCTAATTTTCACTTGTCTGCCCGGCTAACTTTAGCTGCTTTGCTAAAAAATACACTGATATCTCTTCATGGGAGACATATCTTCTTTTCCTGTTCTGGTGGGCTAAAAGGAACTGCAAAACTATGGTGCTGAATATATAAAAGGGGACAGGTCAAAACAAACACTGAGTAGCAATACACTTCTTAAATAGTGTTCAGATTAACATTCCAATTTGATATAAAATGCACCAGTGTGCTGCCGTGTTGAACAGTGAGTAGGCACAGAGCATGCAGCTTCACACTTTTGTGGATTGGATTTTAATAAAAAGCACCCTGATCACTGAACTCCCTCTTCTTATTACATGGCAACATCTGCATACATTTGAAGTGGTACATTTTATTTTGGGGGGGTTTTTTTGGTTGTCTGCATGCATGGGATATGCATTGTATTTTAACAAGCCTTGCTGTAGGTTTTTGCTTTTTTCTGTTCTCTGTGTAGCACCCGTCTTGCATGGGAAGAGGAAGAGTGGACCCCAGCAAGGAAAAGTCTAGCGTTACCTCAGGGTGAATCCATAGCCACAGTAGAGAAGGTTACATGACAAGGAAGGGTGCCAGTCACTAGAATTTTTGAAGTTTTATTGTTCCACAGAGGGGGTTAGGGTTAAGTCTGCAGTAGCAACCAGGCTTCCAGACTCCAGGCATACCCCCGTTTGAGAATGAACGCTGAGTTCGAAATGCGTTAAGGAGGAGCCCTTGCAAGCCGTTGACAACAAGCCGTCGGATCACGGCGATCCGACAGCCACTTCATTTTACCAGCTGGTCAGTTATCTATGCGCGTATCTTATGCGATTATTATTGTGGCATTTCCATTTATTACTGTAGTTTTGTACGTTTTTTTAACCCATTTTAACATTGCCATTAATATAGCAACATCTAAATACTACAGTATGGGATTATCCCTAATTTTTGCTCTGTATTGAGCACCTTAAATCCCCTAGCATCATCTCCAGTGAATGTCCCAGCATCCTGAAGAGGTTGAACTATCAGTACTGGCCATCACATCCTAGCACCTAAAGGGAGACCATCTACCCCCAGGCTACATCCCGCATTACCCCTGAGGGACCCGTGAATGACCAGGAGTATATGATATAACGCGCTTTTTATTAGCGCATCTGGTGAGTGCGCATTCTGTATGTTGATTAGTACACCCACCTAAGGAGAAAAAGTATTCTGGGACTTTACTGAAGTCACTTGGAGATCACACCAGATTTTAAGAATTCTTGGACATTATATAACCATTACGCATGTCACGATTATGCATTTCCTGTAGACACCTACACCTCTATTTATTTATTTTTATATTGCAAATACTGTTTTATTACATGTTATAAGCAAAATGCATTTATCACATACATGTGTTTATGAGAATAAGATTAGTCATTTCCGTAGATTTTTAGCGCTGCACCAATATTTATTTTATTGAGGCTTCCAGACTCCATTACTTCAAAAGAGGGACAGGATTCTCGAAGAGCAGACACTCCGCCTCCCTCCAGGAGACATCCATAGGGCTCTTCTGTACCAATGCGCACCCTCCTCAGCCAGGCAGGGCCTCTCAGCTAAACATGTGTTGGGGCTCATGGGGCTCACTAAGCCACTCCCTGAGTTTTTATAACCTCTCCCAGCATGCACCACTGTAGGAAGACTACTAGTCAGAGCCAGAAGAGACCAGGGATGGACTGACCATTTGGAAACTCGGGCACTGCCGAGGCCCAGGGTCAGTAGGGGCCCCATGAGATGCCCCTTGTACCTTTTTCATAGACATTTTTGAGTTTGGCCAAGGACAGAGGGGCCCCATGATCCCCTATTGCCCGGGGGCCCCATGAGTTGTCAGTCCGCCCCTGGAAGAGACATAAAGGCTTAATAGCAAAAGTTTTGCTGAGCTCCATAACTATAGTCCTAGTAGTCAGTGACACCTCATGATGACAATAGTATACTGCAGCAACTCAAAACATAGGGAGAGAGACCAAATGAGCAGCTAGCAATTGTCCCAGGCTAGTTGTCACCCAGGAAATATAAATAATATTGATATTTGCCTTGCCAGCATTTTACCAAACTGACTGATAAGTGGGTGATAGATGTGACTGATCAGTCAAAGTATTGTAATAAGAAATCCTGCAGGCTTTGGTTCCCTTTATGTGTGATTCGGCATTCGGAGTATCTCACAGACAATAAAACACCTATTTTGGGGGATGCCTATAATTTACTTTTAAACTCTCAACGCAGAGGTCTTCGGACAACACTTCACCAACTACTTGAGTTGGAATTACATTTTTCGGGGAATTCTGTAAACAAAAGTGTACAGATCTCCCACAGTTTCCATGTTTGCAAAAATATGATAATCTTAATTTTGAGCAAAGTAAAAGTAATTTCTGGTAAAGTGACATTCTTTACTCTTTTCAAGATAGCTATTTATGGTATTGTCAATGAGCACCACAACCCCATGATATATAAATAGGGAACACTATATATGTATATATATATATATATATATATATATATATATATGTATATATATACAGTTGTGTTCAAAATAATAGCAGTCAGACATCACTAACCTGATCAATCACTGTTTTTGGTAGAAATGATATTTCTACATGGCAAATAATTTACTAGCAGGTGTAGTAGAGTAATAGAAATCCAACAGACCCAACACTCATGACATGCATGCTGCTGATTCTGTGTAATTGAATCACTAATTGAAAGGGGCATGTTCAAAATAATAGCAGTGTGGAGATATTGGGCCACACCAGGTCCTCTGGAAGACACCAATCTTCGGTGGCGCAACAGTGCATACTGGGCCTAGTGACGACTTCAAAATCCTTTTTATCTATTTAGTGAGGTCATTCATTCTTTGAAAAACAGGTGGCAATTATTGCCCTTATTTAAGGAAGGAAGACAGCAAATGTTGTACATGCTGGTTACAGTGCATTTCTCTCTGAAATTCTGAGGAAAATGGGTCGTTCCAGACATTGTTCAGAAGAACAGCGTACCTTGATTAAAAAGTTGATTGGAAGGGGAAACATATAAAGAAGTGCAGAAAAATGATAGGCTGCTCAGCTAAAATGATCGCAAATGCTTTAAAATGGCAACCAAAACCTGAAAGACGTGGAAGAAAGCAAAAAACTACCATTCGAATGGATAGAAGAATAGCCAAAATGGCAAGGACTCAGCCAACAATCAGCTTCAGGAAGATCAAAGAAGGTCTAAAGTTACCTGTGAGTACTGTTACAATTAGAAGACGCCTATGTGAAGCCAAGCTAGAAACTCTGCAAGAAGCCCCCGCAAAGTCCCACTGTTGAAAAAAAGAAGAGGTTACAATTTGCCAAAGAGCACATTGACTGGCCTAAAGAGAAATGGCACAAAATTTTGTGGACTGATGAAAGTAAGATTGTTCTTTTTGGGTCTAGTGGCCGGAGATAGTTTGTCAGACGACCCCCAAACACTGAATTCAAGCCACAGTACACTGTGAAGACAGTGAAGCATGGTTGCGCAAGCATCATGATATGGGGATGTTTCTCAGTTTGAATACATCAGAATACTTGAAGAGGTCATGCTGCCTTATGCTGAAGAGGAAATGCCCTTGAAATGGGTGTTCCAACAGGACAACGACCCCAAACACAACAGTAAACGTGCAACATCTTGGTTCCAGACCAACAAGATTGACATTATGGAGTGGCCAGCCCAATCCCCGGATCTTAATCCAATAGAAAACTTGTGGGGTGACATCAAAAATGCAGTTTCTGAGGCAAAACCAAGAAATAGAGAAGAACTGTGGAATGTAGTCCAATCATCCTGGGCTGGAATACCTATTCACAGGTGCCAGAAGTTGGTTGACTCCATGCAACACAGATGTACAGCAGTTCTCAGAAACAGTGCTTATACAACTAAATATTAAGTGATTCAATGGAAAGCAAAATCTTCAAACATTTTTCAGTTTATATAGTGAATGTTTGAGTTTGTAAAGAATACAAACACTGCTATTTTTTTGAACAGTCTAATATTCACTTTTCTTCAATTGTTTAAGAGGAACAACACAAATTTGATACATTTTTCTTCATGTTTTGATTTGGAATAGAATGTGTAGTGTTCCCGATGCATTTGTGTGTATGGAAATAAAAGCTATTAGAAGGATTTTGAGCTTTATTCACCTTTTTCAACACACTGCTATTATTTTGAACACAACTGTATATATATATAGTTTTTGCAGTAATATAATAATAATGTATATGCCTATACAGTAAGAATCACATTTATAAACATAGTTAATTTTCTGGTTTTAAGGAAGGATATATTATATGTGGCTTTAAACAGCAAAAAAGGCTGCAGGTGCTTCTGAGTATATAGATGCAAACATCGAGGTTTTGTTTCTTACTATATTTAGGAGGAACAGAGCTTATATGGTTCCTCCCGGGCTGCAACTTTTAGCAGAAGTGTTTTTTTAATAATTGCTTTTTGACCTCTTCCACTAACCTTGAACACTGCTAATGCTCAAACCTTACTCTAGTCTTTTGCAGGATTTGCAAAAATAATTTAATTCTAATTAAATTTATGTAAGTTTAAGTACAACTGAACCCATGAGGTGCCCATAAATGTAGACATAGAATGTAGTAATAAGCAGATTGTGCCTGGGTACAGTTCAAGGGATGTTCATCAAACAGCTGGAAAAAAGTTTGGACATTAGAAAAGTTCCCTGAACCCCATTGAAGTGTATAGGTGACGAACCCTGCAAATGTATTTTTCCCCTTTTTAGGGGTGCACCTGTACAATGTGTTACAGCAAAACTGACACAAATACAAAATGCCCTTTAAATTGCCAATAAATGACAGCTCCCAGCCACTTTGTTCTGTTAGTAAAGAATTGGCTGCTTATTCCCTTCAATATCTATACCAGAAAGTTATCCAGGTAAAGGAGCCATTGCATTGTAAGGGGACCCCAAGCATTGTAAGGTTCCCTTAATGAGGATTTTAATGGGAACCTCCATGTAAAATATGTGACATACAAGATTTGGCTCACCCAGAAAATTCATACTAGACCCTTATCCAAGTATGCACCCTAACTGGTCAGGAAAGGGTAGGGGGCACAGCGAGCATCTTGTTCCTATGCTAATGAGGACAAGGGCATCATCTCCTCATCCCTGGCTCAGTGGATGTGGGGATCTGCAGGAGAGACTTATCAGAATCTGGAAGCCCCCTTTAAATGACACATGTTCACATGGCCATATTTGGTCAATGACAACAACCAGCATCCCTGGCCCCTGTCAGAGCCTGGGCCTTCTGTGGTGAGAGGCAATGTTTCTTCTTGCTGAGCCACCTGGGATGCTGGACAACTCCCTTGACAATTGTTTGGATGATCCTGCCTTGGCCCTGTTTGTCTTGAACCTTGAACCCCTTGCTCCACCCATGAACTTCCTGATAAAAGCCATGTCTCTGCATTTCCTCTTTGCCAGATTATTGTGCCTTCACCAGCCAATATCCCGCTTGTCTTTCCTGGTGCCGTCCATACCTTCGCTACCGACCTTTGGCTTGTTCCTGGACTACGATATTGCCTCATCCTCATCTACTACCGTTTGTGACCGACCCTTGGCTTGTTGACTGACTCTGCTTCTGCTTGAACCTTAACTTGTTCGATCTGCTACTGGTTTCCGGCTTGCTCATTCCCTGGTGGGGTGATCCTGAGATCTGCGACCTGGTACCAACACGCAGCCAAATCCATCTCCACCATTAGGAGCTCTGGTGATAACCGGTTGGTGCTTAGACCCCGCACCTCAGGTGAGCCTGTGTCCTTTCCCAGGGTGACCTGCCTGTGTACCTATCCTGCTGGTTTCAAGTAAGCCTTAACACTGCTATAGAAACTGGTCTCTGAACCTGACCTAGACCGTGACAGCCCCCCTGTTTACATTTAGGTGAATGGAGCCACCCAATCACTTCCACAGCCCACCAAAGGTAGTGCTCCCCGATCCAACTTTCCCTACCATTTATTACAGCATATGGTATAAAGGGTTGCTATCAGCACCACATCCTAAAAGCATAACTCTTGTGAGACTGAAATGTGATTTTTTTTTTTTTTTAAGGTGCCAGAAGACAGTTGCAACACATTAAAAATTGACAACTTTATTACAAAAATCCAAAATGTTAAGAACATGATAAAAGCTGTACACAGAAATAGTATTTCTCATCACCTCCCTTAACAAACTACCCATGGTACACAATACCCAGTAGTAGGAATGTCAACATACTGTATATTAAGTCAAATGGCTTCTACTTGGGATGTCTTCAGCATGGGTCTCACGCCTCAGCAAATTTTATGGGAACCCCGCTTCTTCAGGAGATGAAGGGGAGTGTTAACAACAAACAACTGGAGGTCAATAAACAATAGAAGGTATTCAGACCATGCAGTGTCTCATCCTGGGACAGGTGTGAGAGTGAGTTAAGCGGCACTTATGTTGAACCTTTTCAAGATAGGCAGGTGCTGATCCTAAAATAGCTGTTCAGTAACGTACATCTGTAGGGCAAGGAGGTATAGGGGGCATGGGGAACAGTGTGGACCATTCTGTTTCCCAAGTCCTCAGTAGCCATGCAGCACACATGACATATATCCGGATGAGCCCGCATTCTGCCATCAGGGTTGAAAGCGTCTCCACAGCTCCAAAGGAGTGACTATATTATAGTACAGATGTTAAAAAAAATTAAAAATAAAAATAAATTAAAACTAAAGTTAAGAAATAAAAAAGCTAATGTATAAAAAAAAACCTTTATCAATATTGTTGAAGTTGAAGTGCATTTTGCAGTCATCACCATTTTTTCTGGCACTTCCTCCTTCTATCAAGATCTTATGCAAA